CCTTCCTTCCTTCCTTCCTTCCTTCCTTCCTTCCTTCCTTCCTTCCTCCCTCCCTCCCTCCCTCCCTCCCTCCCTCCCTGTTTCCTTCCTTCCTTCTTCTCTTAATTCCCTTTCTCATTCTCCTTCCTAGTGGCACAGTGGTTAGAATGCAGCATTGCAGGCTAATTCTGCTGACTGCCAGGAGTTCGATCCTGACCGGCTCAAGGTTGACTCAGCCTTCCATCCTTCCAAGGTCAATAAAATGAGGACTCAGATTGTTGGAGGCAATATAGGTAGTATTAGATACTATCTCTAATATTGTATCTATGTATTTATCTCATATCTATATCATATCCATATCTATGTATATAATTAATATATATCTACTTGATCTTTATCTATCATATCTATTTATATCTCAATCTATCTATCCTGACCCAGCCTTAGCAGAATCAAGAAACAGACTCCTTGTCCCGAAAAACCCTCTTTATCTCCTGTGAATTAATAACATTCACACATCAAAAAGTCCAGGCAATAGTCCTTCAAAAGAGTTAAATGCAGTAACAGATCTTATCAGTTCCTTGAGATAATTGCAAGGCTCTCAGTGGTAAAGCTGAAAATTAAGTTCTGGCAAGCAGTCTCTAAGGCATGAAACACAATAAGCCAAATCTTCAGAAATCCGAACTGTTGTCTCCTGAACCTACCACTCCCCTTTCCTTCTATTTATTCTCCAGGCACAGAGGGGGCCATTCAGCATCCACGTGTGCCCTGCTTCCTGAGTTGTTTACTTGTCTGCAGTTGTTCTCCTCTCCTAACAGCTCTACGCATATGCGCATCTGAAACAGGCCCCAGCTGTTCTTCCTCCCCACTTTTCTCAGCCTCCAAAGGCAGCTGCCTCTCCGGTGGCTGGTAAATGTTGGATGGCCCTGGCTCTTTCTCTGCGTCCAACACAGAGCATCCATCAGAGCCTTCCCCAGACTCCAGAACTGGCCCAAATTCCTCCCAACCTCCACATCATCCGAGTCTGCTACCAGCTCTGCTGGCAGCTGGCAGGCCACAACACTATCATCTATCTATCTATCTATCTGTCTATCTATCTATCTGTCTATCTATCTATCTATCTATCTATCTATCTATCTATCTATCTATCTTCTATCTAACTGATCTTTATCATATCTATCTCTATATCTAATTGATCTCTATCATATCTATCTCTATCATATATATCAATCAATCAAATTGATCTCTATCATATCTATCTCTATCTCTTTATCCATCTAATATCTATCTCTCATATCTGTATATCATCACCCTCTATATCTGTCTGTCTGTCTGTCTGTCTTTATCTATCTATCTATCTATCTATCTATCTATCTATCTATCTATCTATCTATCTATCTATCTATCTATCTATCTATCTCTATCTTTTCTTTATTTCTAATGTTTTCTTGTAGACTTTCCTGAAAGCTTTTGTTATGGATCATAGGATCTCACTGGCTCCTCCTTTAACCAACTTAACTATTAATTAATATTAATATTAATAAATAATTAAAATATTAATATTAATATTTAACTGTCCTTAAATATCACATTTCGGTTCTTACTATGTTACAGAGCCCCTGATTATGACATTGAACATGCAAACAAGCTAAATACACTACTAACATGGGCAGCATCCTACCCACACGCTTTTATCTTTCTTGGTGACTTCAATCTACGTCATATTAACTGGACCCTCATATTAACTGAACCCATACATGCAACCTTTATTTATTTTTATTTATTTATTTTATTTATTTGATTTGTCAATTGTTTACAAGATAATAAGTACAAGTGTATACATAGTTGTGAATATATGAAATGGGTACATATAAGAAAAATAAAAGAATAAGAGAAACAAGAGAAACAATAGGACAGGGACGGTAGGCACGTTGGTGCTCTTATGCACGCCCCCTACAGACCTCTTAGGAAAGGGGTGAGGTCAATAGTAGACAGTCTAAGGTTAAAGTTTTTGGGGTTTGGGGAAGAGACCTTCTACAATGCAGTAACAAATCTGGGACTAGAACAACTAGTAACCAAAAACACTAGACTTAACAACTGCCTCGATCTCATCTTCTGCAATAGTTTGAATTCAATTTACGGAATACAAATTAAAGAACTCTTTTCCAACAGTGACCACAACATGATTGACTTTTGTCTCAACATACGTCCACACAAAAATCATCACAATGACGGAATCCTCAATTATAACTTCAAAAAAGGCAACTATAATCTTATAAACAATGATCTCTCATCCCTTGATTGGCAATTTCTATTCTCTGGATGCAATACTGTAGAAGACCATTACAACATATTTTTACTTGAAGTCAAAAGAGTCATCAAACTATATGTACCATTAACAACTCAATCAATTATTAACTAACCCATCATCCTCCACTTAGAAACAAACAATCTACTCTCTAATAAACAATTTGGTTTCAGGAAAAAACTATCATGTAATCTGCAACTCTTACACTGCAAAAACATATGGGCTACACAACTCGATCAGGGCAAAGCAATAGACGCAATCTACATAGACTTCTGTAAAGCCTTTGATTCAGTGGTACATGACAAACTACTCCTAAAACTAAAATCTTACGGTATCTCTGGACACCTGCATAACTGGATAGAAGCATTCCTGTCAAACAGACAACAAATGGTCAAAATTGGGAGTGTCCTATCAAATTCTGTACCTGTCAATAGTGGTGTCCCCCAAGGCAGTGTTCTAGAACCAACTCTTTTCATACTCTACATAAATGACCTCTGTGATCATATCAAGAGCAACTGTGTTCTCTTCGCTGATGATGTAAAGCTATTCAACACCACAGACAATACTGCTACCCTTCAAAAAGACCTTGACTATGTATCAGAATGGTCAAACAAATGGCAACTTCAAATCTCAACAAATAAATGCTCTGTCCTACATATTGGAAAAAAATTGAGAAAATAAAATACAGGCTGAATAGTCAAGACCTTGTTGACGATCCAAATTCTGTCAAGGATCTTGGAGTCCCCATCTCAAATGACCTAAGTGCTAGAGCCCACTGTAAGTACATAGCCAAAAAGGCGTTAAGAGTTGTTAACCTAATCCTACGTAGCTTTTTCTCTGGTAATATTACACTAATAACTAGAGCATACAAAACATTTGCTAGACCAATACTCGAATACAGCTCATCAGTCTGGAACCCACATTACGTATCTGATATTAACACAGTTGAGGAAGTCCAGAAATATTTCACAAGAGTTCTCTGCTCCTCTACTCGTTGCAGAATACCTTATGCCACCAGACTCGAAATTCTAGACCTAGAAAACCTAGAACTACGTTTCCTTCGGTCCAATCTAAGTATAGTATATAAAATCATACATTGCAATGTCCTACCTGTCAATGAATACTTCAGCTTCAACCGTAACAACACAAGAGCACACAATAGGTACAAACTCAAGGTTAATTGCACCAAACTTGATTTTAGGAAATACGACTTCAGCAACAGAGTGGTCAATGTCTGGAATACTCTGCCTGACTCTGTGGTTTCTTCCCCAAACCCCAAAAACTTTAACCTTAGACTGTTTACTATTGACCTCACCCCTTTCCTAAGAGGTCTGTAGGGGGCGTGCATAAGCGCACCAATGTGCCTACCGTCCCTGTCCTATTGTTTCTTTTATATTTTTTTATTTTTCTTATGTGTATCCATGTATTCATAACTATGTTTTTACGTATACCTATTATCTTGTAAGTAATTGACAAATAAAAATAAATAGATAACCTTTCATCACCAGCCTGGCTTGGAAGCCCTGTAACTTCAAGGGGCTTTGTCTGTGGGGTATAAAGGTCCTTACGTCACACTCCTGACCTTTTGAGAAAATTATTATTCTCATCTCCTACGGCTCAGGCAATGGCTATTTGATTGATGAGCTCCAGGACATGCTGAGATACAGTGCTGAGTTTCATTCAGGTGTCAGATTTTCCAATTTTAACCATGGGAGAAATAATTATATGGCCAGGCACTGCTGAGCATCACTGAGTTGGAGGTCAATTTCATGAAGAACTCTGCCTGGAGCTAGTCTTACCTCCCCAAGAAGCTTATATTTGGGTCTGCAAAGTGATTGTTAGGTGGGGGAGTTTAGCCATGGTGCCTCAGAATCCATAACTACAAAAAGAAATGCACATGCAAAGTTGTGTCGGGAAGTAAACCTGTGAGATAGGGGTGTCCAACCTTGGCAACTGTAAGACCTGTGCACTTCAACTCCCAGAATTCTACAATAAGGGTGTCCAACTTTGACAACTTTAAGATTTGTGGGCTTCAACTTCCAGAATTCTACAATAAGGGTATCCAACCTTGGTAATTTTAAGACCTTTGGGCTTCAACTCCCAGAATTCTACAATAAGGGAGTCCAACCTTGGCAATTTTAAGACCTTTGGGCTTCGACTCCCAGAATTCTACAATAAGGGAGTCCAACCTTGG